TTCCGTTTTTCTTTCTTTCGTTCTTTTCTTTCTCCTTTATTCCTTTTGTTTTCCCTCTTTCTGTCTCTCCCTTTCCTTTTCTTCATCCTTCTTTCCCTTCCATTTCTTCTTCTCTTCCCTTTTTCTTTTTTTTGCTCACCTTGTACTTCCAAGACATTTTTCATGCGATTTTTATCCATGGAGTTTTGCTTCCTTTTAACTCCTTTTAGCTAGTTTTTTTTGGGGGGGAAATGTTCCTTTTCAATCGATAAAAGCAAAACTTTTTTTAAAAAAACCTAATGGTTCTCTTGCTCTGTGCTTTGTCCAGCAAAGTCATTGATCCAAAGCTAAATAACATTTCAGAGTTACTCGGGCAGCATATTGCAACCTCAGATTAAAAAACATGTCCTGTGTGTTTTTGTGTGCGTGTGCTTCTGTGGTGTTGAAATGCCCTTGGTTCAATGGGCTGGTTTGAGCACCCTCCAAACAATGCACGGTTCAGGTGAATTTTGACCTAGAGCATCATGAAACCCTTGCAAAGTTGTTCATTTAACCATGAAAGGTGAGCGCATAGCCTCTTTCATTGATGCAACCAAGCAATCCTACCTATTATGGTCTGGTGGACAACCACACCCATTCATTGTGGGAATCAGAGAGGATCCCAACGTCCCGAACTGTTGCTCTGTGCATGAGTTTTACGGTCTTTTCCAGCCCTAGGAATTTACATGCTTTGCAGACATACAGCAAGAAGTGCAACTTTAATTAAAACTTGACACCCTGAGAGGTAGGAACCCCTGGGAGGTTTTCAGCATCTCCAGGGGTGTGAATATTCTTTGACACACAACTGCATCGGCGCTGGGCTGAGTGGCAGCCCCCATCATCTTGCTGAGACCTCGGGAAGACCGGCCAGGAGTCTGCTTCTCTCCCCATGGCTGACGTGTCACTGGTTTTGCATTTCCTGGCTCCATTCCTTCAAGATGTCCCCAGCAGCTTTCAAGGTCGAGTCCTCCTAAAAGATTGAATGAAAAAAGGATGAGCTTTTTTTAAAAATAAAATATAATTTTTATTGAATAATTATTTTTACGAAGCGAAAAGATAAACATGAAAGAAGATAGGATAAGATAAGGGAAGGGAAGGGGAAGGGGGAAGGAAAGGAAGCAAATGGATGAGAAAGGAAAGGAAAGGAAAGGAAAAAAGAATGGAGACTTCACCTTTGCAAAGCAGAAACGCAGAAAATGGTCAAAATTTTTCTTCTGTGGGACACTGTAGAAAGCAGAGACAGGAATGGAAGCCAGACGCTGTAGAGGAGGACACGAAAAATCAGGATGAAAAGCAAAATACATCTCTCTCTCTCTCTCTTCCCCCCTCCCCAAAAAATATTTTATTCACCTTCTTGGATTATAACAAAAAACAGAGCCTTCATGGTGAAACTTTAGAGCCCCGGTAAAGGAAAAGTATGAGAGGCTCAGGGTTGAAATGAGGGGTCCTTGGTGCTTAGAGAGACACACACCCCCTTTAGAACCCCACCCTTCTCCACTCACCTTGTTCTTAATCATCCATTTTGCAAAACGAAAGTCGTAGGATTCTTCTGAAGGTGACAAATCAATTTCTAGAAGAGGACACAAATGATGTGAGGGCCATTGGCAACCTCCGCTGGGTCTTTACAGGTCTTTACTGTAGTTCCTATCATCCCCAGCCATGCCCCATGTGGCTGAGGAACATGGGGCAACCCACTAGCATTGCGAGACTCTGTTATTATAATTTATTTATTTTATTTGATTTATATCCCGCCCTTCTCCCGACGGGACTCAGGGCGGCTCACAACATATTTAAAACAAAAACATACCCACAATCCCCGCCAAATAAAACCAAATTAAAACCAAATATTTTAAAGTTGTGGTATTAAAATTTTCTAAAAAATAAACCCAATTTAAAATCCTCCCTAGGCCAGGCCCGCTTGTTGGAAAAGCCATGTCTTGAGGGCGCGGCGGAAAGTAAGGAGATCCGGAATCGTCCGGATCTCGGGGGGTAGTTCGTTCCAGAGGGCAGGGGCACCCACAGAGAAGGCCCTCCCCCTGGGGGTCGCCAGCCGACATTGCTT